CACTCAAAAAAAAAAAAAAGACTGCTTGAGTTCCAGGCTTCAGAGAGCTAAGATCATGTAAGATCATGCCAGTGACGGGTACTTCATCCTAGGTGACAGAGCAAGACCCCATCTCCTAAAAGAAGAAACAAACACACTTCCTGGGATCCCCATGCCACTGAAGTCACACAGTGCGCTCCTTCATTGTAAAGTGTACACTGACAAAAGCTATATATTCAGTCACCTGAAATCTGACTCAATGCTAAATATCATCAATAGAATATTACTAGCATACATACAAGCTATTAATAACAACAAAACAATGCCTTTTACCACAGCCTGCCTCCTGAAATAAAACTTCCTAACTTTGACTGGGCATGGTGGTTCATGCATATAATCCCAGCACTTTGGAAGACCAAGGTGAGAGGACTGCCTGAGCCCATGGGCTCAAGACCAGCCTGAGCAACTTGGCAAGACCTCATCTCTATAATAAATAAATTTTAAAAATTAGCCAGGCATGATGATGCAGGCCTGTAGTTCCAGCTACTTGAAGCGCTGAAGCAAAAGGATCACCTGAGCCCAGCAGGTTGAGGCTGCAGTGGCCATTTGAGTGCCACTGCCCTCCAGCCTAAGAGACAGACTGAGACTCCAACTCAAAACAAAACAAAACTAAACAACCCAAAAAACATCCTAATCTCACAGAAAACCCCACGGGCCCTTCTCCCTCCCCATCAGGCAACCACCCTGAACCTTTTACTTATCAGAATGAGTAACATTTAACAATTAGCTGTATGTTATTTATCACAAAATTTCAAAACAGCACATTTTTAAAAATTTTAAGATACACCATTTGCTCTATAGACATGTACTGAGGATCACTGATCCCACAACTTTCCCAGAGACCAACTTTTCCTGAGAGCCATCAAGTGAACCCCCTCAAGTCCTAGCACTCAGTTACGAACACCCCACTTCAGACGCAGACAGCATCATGCTCATTCTCAGGGGATGGGAGAGAACATTCCTGGGACTCTGTTCGGAAGCCTGGGGAAGGCAGTCAGCCAGGCAGTGGGAAACAGCAATCCAAGGCTGACCTGGGATCAGTGCAAACAGCATCTGGAAAAGCGGGGTTCTCATGGGCTCCCAGGGAGGAGAAGAAGAGGTGTGGCCAGCAGCTCCAGCCCAGGAGCAAGGTCAGGAGTCATCTTGGGGAGGGCACGGTGAGGCGGGGTGGCCAGTGGCCATGCTGTACAGCATCAGTGGAATCACTTCCCGCAGGCCAGCAAACAGAGGGGAACCAGACGGGCTCCCAAGAGACCCACTAAGTCTCCTCCAAACCTACCAATCTCACAAGTCTCTCCTGTGCTGGGGAGGGACTAAGGTGACACCCTTTGTGTGGTGCCTTCCTATAAGGCAATTGCACTTGTCACACACCCATCCTCATAATCCCAGCCACTGGTGGCACTGCCATCACCTCCACCCAACCAACACAGGGAGGGGCAGGGTCACCACTAAGGTCTGTGAAAGACTCATGCTGTCTCATGTGCTGAATGCGGTCTGCAGCGAATCCCTCCCTCTGGAGTTTCTCAGACAGCAAACACCAGTTCCGCAGACACAGCCATCTCCAGCTCCGCCCAGACGGGTCCAGACCCGTCTCAGAAACCAAAGCTCAGCCGCTCCCCAGCTCTAGCAGATTGTGCACAAGAATTTACTCCATCTTGTTATACACACCCGCTCGGAGCAAGGGCAGGACCCGCTAACACCGGCAGGATCTGGGACAAGACACACAACAAAGGCCAGTCTGAGGGCCGGGGCCAAACCACTCGGCTTCACCTTCTCCAAAATAAGCTACCCCCTCCGAAGCTTCGCC